AGTTGTTGCTGCTGCTGCTGTTGCAGCAGCAGGAGCAGGAGTATACCTGAAGTTGCTGCTGCTGCTGCAGCTACAGGAGCAGCAGCTGCAACAGCAACAGCAGCAGCAGCAGCAGCAGCAGCAGGTGGTTAAGGAAAGCTGCAGAAGTTGTATTGATGTAGTCTGTGTTTCATTCCTCGCTGTTGCTGCTGCTGCTGCTGTTGCTGCTGCTGCTGCTGCTGCTGCAGTTGCTGGTGTTGTTGCTGCAGTTGCCGCTGTCGTTACTGCAACAACAGCAGCAGCAGCAGAAGAAGGATATTAATACTAAACTGCATGCAACCAGCAGCAGCAGCAGCAGCAGCAGCAGCAAAAGTAGTATTTGTCTGCTGAGGGTACGGGGGCCCCCAGGGGGCCCCCCAGGGGCCCCCCGGTACCACACCAGACAAAACCCTAAACCCTAAACCCTAAACCCTCTGCTTATATTCTTTGCAGCACACCTGTAAACACAGACAAGTTGATTTATTTTCCTTTTTTTGAGGGTTTAGGTCAGATGAACGAGGGTTTAGGGTTTAGGGTTTAGGGTTTAGGGTTTAGGGTTTAGGGTTTAGGGCTTTGCACGGGTCTCCTTCTCTCCACCACTGCCACACGCCGCACAGCAGCAGCAGCAGCAACAACAGCAACACCAGCAGCAACAGCAACAACAGGAGCAGCAACAGCGAGAACGACAGCAGCAGCAGCAGAAACGCCGACAGCAGCAGCAGCAGCAGCAATAGCCGCAGCACCAACAGCAGCAGCAGCAGCAGCAACAACAGCAACAACGAGAAAGGATACTGCTTGGCAGTCTCATCAGCAACACAGCTGGCAGCACACAGCAGCAGCAGCAGCAGCAGCAGCAGCAGCAGCAACTGCAGCAGCAGCTGCCGGTGCAGATGCATTAGCTGCAGCAGCAGCAGCAGCAGCCACAGCAGCAGCAGCAACGGCAGGGAAAACCTTGTAAGCAGGAGCAGCAGCAACTCCCCTTGCCGCATCTGCTGCTGCCTGCTGCAGGCTGCTGCTGTGAGCCACTCTGCAGCAGCAGCAGCAACAGCAGCAGCAGCAACAGCAGCAGCAGCAACGGCAGCGGCAGCAGCAGCAACAGCAACAGCAACAGCTAGGCCTGCCGCTGCTGCTGCTTCAGGGGGGATAGGTGTTGCAGCAGCTGCTTTCAAGGGCAGCAGCAGCAGCAGCTGCTGCTGCTGCAATCTTCTGCTGCTGTTGCTGCAGCTTGCTGCTGCAGCTGCTGCTGTTGCTGCAGTCTGCTGCATGGGCTGCTAATATCGTGAGCAGCAGCAAGAACGACAGCAGCAGCAGCAGCAGCAGCAAAAGCAGCAGCAGCAGCAACAGCGGCATCGACAACGACAGCAGCCA